AGTCCATGGTCATGTGTAACCTTTAATATCAGCGAGACAGATTCAGACGTTAGATTAAGTAAGGATCATTTAACCAGTTCATGAAACGGATAATTACTTTCACAGCACTGATTGGTGCAGTAGGCGATCCTCTCCAACAGCTCCAAATCAATATGAGTATCACAGCAGATGATGAGGAATCAATTTGGCTAAATCTGAATGCAACAAATTGCTGGACATACACAAAAGGTAGATATCAGAAACCAGGAGCGTTGGTCGTTCGTCAAATGTCCAGTACTGTTGATTAGTAAAATTAGTTACCATCATGTTATAACATAGTCTGACATTTTAACATGACTTGTCACCGGAGTGTTGGTTCTTGTTCTTGTTTTAACTAACTTCACGTGGTATGTATTCAACTTAAATTGAGGACTTTAGTCAATATTCAGTATTATATATTAGAGACACATGACTCACTGTCAGCAGATCATATGTGAAATTCAACCTTCTAACCTTTCACAGGAAGGGGCATATTTTATTTCAGATGCATTTTAAAAAAGTTTATGTGTAACAATTTCTTTATTATACAGTAATAAAGACGTTGTTATCCTCAAACTTTTCTGTACTTTGTCATCCATCACCTTCTGGGAAATGCATATTTTACAAGGCATTTTGAAATAATATCTACATGTGGTGTCGACACTCTAATCAGATGGCAGTCACTCGACCCGTGAAGATCCGGGGTAGAATAGGTCTTCAGCATCCCGTGCTTGCCGTAAAAGGCGACTATGCTTGTCGTAAGAGGCGACTAACGGGATCGGGTGGTCAGGCTCGCTGACTTGGTTGAAGCATGTCATCGATCCCAATTGCGTGGATCGGTGCTCATGATATCAATCATAAAGATTCGGGGTAGAATAGGTCTTCAGCAACCCATGCTTGCCGCAAGAGGCGACTAACGGGATCGGGTGGTCAGTCTCTCTGACTTGGTTGATGCATGTCCATCTATCCCAACTGTGTGGATCGGTGCTCATGATGTCAATCACTGGTTTGTCTGGTCTAGAGTAGATTATTTACAGACCGCAGTCATATAAGCTGGAATATTGCTGAGTGCGGCGTAAAACAAGAAACCAACCAACCAACATTTAAGAACCATTCCTAGTTGAATTACATCACTTGATCCCTTTGAGGATCTGAACACCATTTGTGCATATAACGAACGCAATCAACAGACTAAACTTTGAAATGAAGAGACATCAGAGCTGGTTAAGTCAGTGAGTGAAATAGAAAAGAGGAAAACGCAAAAGGAAGAAACTTATTCTGTCTCGGCCAACTGTTATCCCAGTTGGACGGCCCGACATGACCGGTTTGTACTGTTCCTACCAAGAACCCTCGGGTAGCAAAAACACATTCAATGAGAGCATCACAGAACTTGGTTCATGTTTGTTTGTGTATTTGTTGTTTAACGCCGCACTCAGCAATATTCCAGCTTATATGACGGCGGTCTGTAAATAATCGAGTCTAGACTAGACAATCCAGTGATTGACATCATGAGCATCGATCCACGCAATTGGGATCAATGACATGCATCAACCAAGTCAGAGAGCCTGACCACCCGATCCCGTTTGTCGCCACTTACGACAAGGATAGTCGCCTTTTACGGCAAGTATGGGTTGTACTTGGTTCATGTATAAGTGACACTAAGAGGCGACTAACGGGATCAGGCGGTCAGGGTCGCTGATGAGGCCGTAAGTCCCCATGATCCCCAGTTAGGTGGCCTAACTTTGGTTATTGGTAGCCTATAGCCCGTGTTTTAATATGTCCCCATGGTCCCCAGCTAGGTGGCCTAACTTTGGTTATTGGTAGCCTGTAGCCCGTGCTTTAATATGTCCCAATAGTCCCCAGCTAGGTGGCCTAACTTTGGTTATTTGTAGCCTGTAGCCCGTGCTTTAATATGTCCCCATGGTCCCCGGCTGGGTGGCCCAACTTTGGTTATTGGTAGCCTATAGCCCATGTTTTAATATGTCCCTAGTGCGGTTGAATACCTTCAGTTGACGGTTTTTATATTATGTTGTTGAATGGTAATTTATTTTTACATGCTCTCAAACTAGTTTTACGTAATTCTGTGATATTTTAGTTATTATACTGTCCTTTGATAACAAAATTTTATGCTGTTTATATATATTATCAGTGTCAAATTTCGTCTCGCCTCGTCACGATATGGCTAAAATGATGCCGATGTGACGTTAAACTTAACTCACTCACCCCGTGTTTTAAACTGTGTGAATGATATTGTAATGCACCAGTGTGTTTGATGAAGTTTGTTTTTAATTATAACTTTGCATAGATGACTCACATGTGAATCTATCGACTTGGTCTCGACGTTATATGGCTAAAATAATGCCGATGCGACGTTAAATTTTAACCTACCCACTCTTTCAGCCTGGTTGTTGGTCATACCCCCCATCACACCAAACTAGTTCTCAATACGTTCGTGAAAATGTTGTCGAACGGGCTGCAACTGTGTAAGAACGTAGTGGACGTAGTAGCAACTATTGACAGTCTTTTTACGAACTTCATGGACGGGGAGGGCGCTCTAGAACTTGAGTCTGCTGTAAGTTTTATCCCGTCCATCCCGTTCTACAATTGACCCGTGAAGATTCCAGGGTAGAATAGATCTTCAGCAACCCATGCTTGCCGTAAAAGGTGACTATGCTTGTCGTAAAAGGCGACTAAAGGGATCGGGTGGTCAGGCTCGCTGACTTAGTTTGATGCATGTCATCGATCCCAATTGCGTGGATCGATTCTCATGATATTAATCACTGGATTGTCTGGTCCAAACTCGATTATTTACAGACCGCAGTCATATAGCTGGAATATTGCTGAGTGCGGCGTAAAACAACAAACCAACCGTTCTGCAATTAGTCGGATTGACAACGTACTTAAAACGAGAAAGACGTATTACGAACAGAATTGCCGTACTTCGAACCTGCTAGAGACGTGAGACGCGGTGCAGTCGGACATAATTTTCAGAACGTATGCACACCGACCGGGTCGACTTCTCTTTGGAGGAGGATGTGTACAGATCGGAGACCTGAACTGAAGCCCTGAAGACTGGCTACAACGCGCTCGGTATTCATAGGAGTCGGGACAGTCGAATACACAGTCACGCACTTGGGACGAGATGAGGACGTACTGCGAACGAGTTGGTCGGGTTAAGAAATAGTTAGAACTGGCTTGGACGTATTGTGAACGAGGTTCAACTTGTTAAGAACGGGTTGAGAACGGCTACGGACGTGCTCGAACTGCTTCGAAACGTTGTCGGGATGAGGTGAACGGGCACTTTTACACGATCTGAACTGGATACAAACGGACTGCAGACTGGCTAAGAACGAGATAGACGTATTGAGGACTGCTTATGAACGAACTAGCGTCGTTTTGTACGCCAAACTACGCGTTCTACCGTGATCACAGCCCGTTCTAGTATTTTGTTTAGAACGGGGTAGAACGGGATAGAACTACTTTGGTGTGATGGTAGCCTTACTCGATTCTTGGTTTGTCTTGTTGACCAGGGGGCACGGGTGGCCAGTCGTCTAAGGCGCCGCGATTCGCTGTGCAGAGTTGCGTCCCTTGGGCACGCCAGAAACCTATGATTGTGGGTTCGAATCCCGGTTCGCCCCGATTGTTTCTAGGTGTGTCAGCACCATACCCGTGCTCGCGGTTGGTAAACGTCTTAGAATTGCATCACTTCGGGCTTTTCTCCCACATTAAGCTGACACGCCATGATATAACTGGAATAATGTTAAAAGCGGCGTTAAACCCAACTCACTCACTCACGTTGACAAAGGTTGCCCTGTGGCCAGTCATTAACATTTTATGTCTGCAGAAACCTCTTCCAAAGTCTGTAAATCTCAGACTGAGGCACAGTGACCACATTGGTATATCTCGGTAGGGGCGGTCGGGTAGCCTAGTGGTTAATGCGTTCGCTCGTCACGCCGAAGACCCGGGTTCGATTCCCGACATGGGTACAGTGTGTGAAGCCCATTTCTGGTGTCCCCCGCCGTGATATGGCTGGAATATTGCTAAAAGCGGCGTAAAACCATACTCACTCACTCACTCACTCACTATATCTCGGTGAGTTCTACTGGTTTAAAGCATGCCAATCGCCCATAGGCGTTAATCGCGTTATTGACGACGATGTCCAGTCTAGGCCCGTTCCACAAAGCGATCGTAGCGCTACGCTAGTCGTAAGTCCCAGTTAACTATAGGAGTTACGATCAGATCACTTTGTGGAACGGGCCGCTGATAACAAACACTGCATTAAAGTAAGGTAGAGAGCTTACGTGTTACTGTGGATAATAAGAATCAACAATACTAATGGCTCCGAGCGATTTGACGACCTCTCACTGAAGTGGCAAACCCTCCCCATGTGCACGGAGGAATTGCATGGTCCACGCGCAATGTGCCGGGTGTGTTGGGCGTTCAGGGTTTGGTTTCGAAAGATCTGGCGGTAATTTGTCGACGCTAATCTTTCATAACCGATCGATGATGACCGACCATAACATGTATATTCCCCTACTTTTCTTGGAGGGGATGTATTTGAAAAGGGCGCGCAATGACAGTACTGAAATACTGTTCAAAGTGGTGTTCCACACTCACTCACTCGCTCACATATTGGTTGGTTGGTTTGTTGTTTAACGCCGCACTCAGCAATATTCCAGCTATATGACGACGGTCTGTAAATAATCGAGTCTGGACCAGACAATCCAGTGATTGATATCATGAGCATCTATCCACGCAATAGGGATCGATGACATGCATCAACCAAGTCAGCGAGCCTGACTACCCGATCCCGTTAGTCGATCCGTTATACGGCAAGCATTGGTTGCTGAAGACCTATTCTACCCCGGAATCTTCACGGGTCCGCTCACATATGGTAGTTACAAACATTCGTTCTTACACCTTTAACATCGCTTGCAATAATGTCAGGATTATGTGTACTCGCAGGATCGTGTAACGTAAACACACACACGAGTAATCTGTCCTTCAGTAAACACTACAAATGGGTCACTTAACCTTATCATCGACGACGATGTTGTCCCATGGCGTCTTGGTGGTGGTAATCTTCTTGTCCTTTTCTGCGCAACACACAGGTATGTCTTATCAAACCAAATACATCGATTTAGTAATCGATAGAACAAATAGACAGGAGTAATGTGTTGAGATATTATTTGGAAGGACTTCAGCTTCGGGCGGGTGGCTTGTCTTTAGCTATGTACCATCTGTTGTTCATGCAAGCCAATCCCATGTATTTAGGGTTAGACCGTCAACAGCTCCATGTAGGTCAGTGTCAGTTATACGGGATTTGTTATCCTTCAGGTTCTACTTCGACATGAGACCCGTGAGTCTCCGGGTTTGAATAGGTCCCTTCCACTGATTTACCAACCTGACCTAGCAGTGAGACCGCCTCATCTGTTTCATATTTAGATCTATGCATAAAGATTCAGCCTGACAAAACACTCTCCACAAGACTGTAAGACAATAGGTTGGTTGTTGGTTGGTTTGTTGTTTAACGCCGCACTCAGCTTTATTCCAGCTATATGACGGCGGTCTGTAAAAAAAATCGAGTCTGGACCAGACAATCCGGTGATTAATATCATGAGCATCGATCTACGCAATTGGGATCAATGACATGCTTCAACCAAGTCAGCGAGCCTGACCACCCGATCCCGTTAGTCGCCTTTTACGGCAAGCATGGGTTGCTGAAGACCTATTCTACCCCGGAATCTTCACGGGTTGTAAGACAATAGGGATGACTTTAACTTTCCAAAAGTTGACCTTCATGTCGAGTCCCGTGAAGCTTCCGGGTTCACTGCCAAATATCGCCGCTTGCAGTCACCTATCTGCCAATTATTACCCTGATTTTTATTGACAACACGCTAGCTCCTTGATATTGGGAACAACGTCCCACATCGTCGGGGTGCGATGGCACAGAACAACCAGTCGCTGCATGAGCCTTACCAGCCGATCCATTTAGTAAGACCCGTGAAGATCCGGGGTAGAATAGGTCTTCAGCAACCCATGCTGGCCGTAAAAGGCGACTATGCTTGTCGTAAAAGGCGTCTTACGGGATCGGGTGGTCAGGCTCGCGTGGATCGATGCACATGATATTAGTCACTGTATTGTCTGGTCCAGACTCGATTATTTACAGACCGCCGCTATATAGCTGGTATATTGCTGCGTGCGGCGTTAAACAACAAACAAACTCTTCATGTCAAGTGAGTGAGTGGGGTTTAACGCCGCTTTTAACATTATTCCAGTTATATCACGACGTGTCAGTTTATGTGGGAGGAAAGCCCTGAGTGATGCAGGTCTCAGACGTTTACAATTCGGTGAAACCCAGGGGTATGGTGCTGACAAACCTAGAAACATAATCGAGGCGAACCGGGATTCGAACCCACAATCATAGGTTTCTGGCGTGCCCAAGGGACGCAACTCTGCACAGCGGATACCGGCGCCTTAGACGACTGGGCCACCCGTGCCCCCTCTTCATTTCGAGGGATATTCCAGCAGCTCCTGAATTTGTTTACATTTCGCAACCTTGGAGTTATAAAGTTTGTTTGATGTTTAACGCCGCACTCTGCAATATTCCAGCTATATGACGGCGGTGTGTAAATAATCGAGTCTGGACCAGACAATCCAATGAATATCATGAGCATCGATCCATGCAATTGGGATACGACGAGATGCATCAACCAAATCAGCGAGTCTGACCACCCGATCTCGTCTGTTGGCTCTTACGACAAGGATAGTCGCCTTTTGCGGCAAGCATGGGTTGCTGAAGACCTATTCCACCCCGAATCTTCACGGTCCCGCAATCTTTTGAGATATTGCTGAGTGCGACAGTATTCAACATATTCAACAAACGAAATATTTTATCCGGTTTTTTTGTAAATCAAGGCGACAAGAACGGTTACGCCAGGACTAGCGAGATTTCACTTTACACAAAATGATGATGGTAGATAACAATCTGAAGGTGGAAGACAAATTAGCCAGATGAAACCTTCATTGTGAACATCGTATTCTCATGATACGTGATCGTTCGTGTTGCTATACTGAATCACGTTCGTATTGCTATACTGAATTACGTTCGTATTGCTAAACTGAAGTTTTAATGCACGCTCACTTTAGGATATTGAAACCTGAAACCAAACATCTGAAATTGTTTGTAAACTACACCGCAGTTGATACTCCTTATGACATTGGAACTGATCCCTTTTCTATCTGACCGCGTCCTCATCGTATAGATGCACGGAGATCTCTAATCTCTAAGGAAACCTTTCAGGGCCATTTCTTTCACTCTTTTTTTTTTCTTGAAATTTCAAGATACTAAGTTAAAATTTCAACTTATATTCTTGAAATTTCAGGATACTAAGTTAAAATTTCAACTTAAATTCATGAAATTTCAACATAATTTCAAGATACTAACTTAAAATTTCAACAAAGAGAAACAAATGGCCCTAAAATGCTTCCGTAGATCTCACAGTGAAACCGACATTTGTCCGGATTAGTCCTCGCTACTTGAAAGCGAATCACGAAATATCGTGATGATTATTTAACGACGATAGCTCCATGTGTTCTAATACTTACAAAGTGAAAAAGTAGCCATTCCAGCCAACAGGACTAATACTTACAGTAATGTCAAAAATGTGCACTTTTTAAGAAATATGCATTTTGCAAGCGATAAACGTCATTGAGTTTTGATCGCGTGGTTACAATCCCACTGAATAACGGCTGTATTTAGCTGCATGTGCTGCGTACGTTCATCATCAGCACGAGTCACGATATGGCTGAAATATTACCGATGTGAAGTTAAACTTTTAACTCACTCACTCACTAGCACGAACTGACCCCTGGAGATCCGGGGTAGACTAGGTCTTCAGGAACCCATGTTTGTCGTAAGATTGTGGTTTGCTTGCTGTTTAACGCCGCACTCAGCTATATATGACGGCGGTCTGTAAAATAATCGAGTCTGGAGCAGACAATCCAGTGACTGACATCATGAGCATCGATCCACGCATTTGAGATCGATGACATGTATCAACAAAGTCAGCGAGCCTGACCACCTGATCCCGTTAGTCGCCTCTTACGACAAGCATAGTAGCCTTTTGTAAGGGGCGACTAATTGGATTGGGTGGTCAGGATCGACACTCATGATGTTAGTAATTGGTTTGTCTGGACCAGTCTTGATTATTTACAGACCGCCGCCATACAGCTGGAATATTGCTGAGTGCGGCGATTATCAACAAAAAAACAACCAAACCAGCACGAACTGAAAGAAAAACAACATGCAGATGTAGTGTTTAAAGCGCGTTGGCCAGGTTCACTGCTACATATAGCCAATTGCAGTCACCTATCTGCCAGTCATTATCCTGATTTTTCACTGACAACACGCTACCTACTTGATATTAGGAACAACGTCCCACTCCGTCGGGACCCGTGAAGATCCGGGGTAGAATAGGTCTTCAGCAACCCATGCTTGTCGTTAAAGGCGACTATGCTTGTCGAAAAGGCGACTAACGGGATCGGGTGGTTTGGATCGTTTACTTGGTTGATGCATGTCATCGATCCCAATTGCGTGGATCGATGCTCATGATGTCAACCACTGGATTGTCTGGTCCAGACTCGATTACTTACAGACCGCCGTCATATAGCTGGAATATTGTTGAGTGCGGCGTTAAACAACAAACCAACAATCAACCATTTAGCGAACCGACGAGACAAATATGACTCAAGAAATAATTACATGCCTCTTATTTATTCACTTATGTCAAACTTATCGACATCTATTAGATTTAACTTGAACATTTTAAAGAATGTTCGATTGAATCAATACAATATATTTCTTAATTTTCAGAGGGTCAGGCTACAGAAGAAACCACAACAACAAAGGTGTATATCTGTTTCTTATTGTTTCTCGTTACATGTTCATAATCCATGTACATGTACATGTAAGTAGATTTCTATATATAAAACGGACCCGTGAAGATTCCGGGGTAGAATAGGTCTTCAGCAACCCATGCTTGCCGTAAAATTTGACTATGCTTGTCGTAAGAGGCGACTAACGGGATCGGGTGGTGAGACTCGCTGACTTGGTTGAATCATGTCATCGTATCCCAATTGCGTGGATCGATGCTCATGATATCAATCACTGGATTGTCTGGTCCATACTCGATTATTTACAGACCGCCGTCATATAGCTGGAATATTGCCAGCGAGCCTGACCACCCGATCCCGTTAGTCGCCTTTTAAGACAAACAGAGTCACCTTTTACGGCAAGCATGGGTTGCTGAAGACCTATTCTACCCCGGAATCTTCACGGGTCCCAAAAGGTGGAATATAGCTGGGTTCGGCGTTAAACAACAAACACGCAAACACATATTTAAGACGTCAACGTCAGAGAGGAATCATTCTCGATTACCTTATGTTTTCATCATGTTTTTTCTAGCGGTTTTTGACAAGTAAGTAATTTAGTAAATCCAAGACCAGCGGACCCTCACACAGCTAAAGTGCGCAACTCTGCACGACTGACTGCAATCATGCCATAAACCACTTGGCCATCCCCACAACCCCAAACAGTTGCAATGGCTTCTTGCTGCCCCCTTTATTCTGTTCCGTCGACTTCACGGTGGCCCGGCTTTGGTTACTGGTGACCTATAGCCAGTGATTTATGCTGTATAAATGATATTGTAATGTCCAAATATGTTTGATAAAATTTGTTTTTAAATATAGCTTTTCCTTTATGACTCACTTGTGAATATAATTATCAACTTGGTCTCGTCGCTATATGGTTGTAATAATGACGATGCGACGTTACACTCGCTCACTCGCGACCCGTGAAGATTCCGGGGTAGAATAGGTCTTCAGCAACCCATGCTTGCCGTAAAAGATGACTATGCTTGTTGTAAAAGGCGACTAAAGGGATCGGGTGGTCAGGCTCGCTGACTTGGTTTCATGCATGTCATCGTATCCCAACTCCGTGGATCGATGCTCATGATGTCAATCAATGGATTGTCTGGTCCAGACTCGATTATTTACAGGCCGCCGTCATATAGCTTGAATATTGCTGAGTGCGACGTTAAACAACAAAACCAACCATCCAAATCGCTCCCTCGCTCGTCGACTTCACATAATCTAACTCGTGATATCTTTCAGGAACTGGAGGATGTTAAATGCCCTCATCTCCCCTGTCCGTTGCCTGGAAACTGCATCCACAAGGTATGGAGTCATTTCTGGTACCACGGAAAGCTCTGCAAGGGATGTCAGTTCTGTGTCAACGGTACCAGCGCAAAGACCTTTGATAGTTTAGATGAGGTAAATTCATCTTGAACGTTTGTATCTACGTGTAGTTATTGATTATGCTTGTCGTAAGAGGCGACTAACGGGATCGGGTGGTCAGGCTAGCTGACTTGAATTGGTTGATGCGTGACATCGTATTGAAATTGCATGCATTGATGCTCAGGTGACGCTACGTTAAGCAACGTCGATCTCGGAGTGTAGTTGGATGGGTTTCTGCAGCTTGACGTGTGAGAGTTTCTTTGGCTTCGGAGCTGCCCCACACTAAAGCCTATTGCTGAGTGCAGCGTTAAACAAGACAAAACACACAACTAGCCAAGGATCAGTTACAAGGCCACATATGAAAAAAATCTCCATATATTTGTTTTGATTGTTTATTATTTAAACAATTCTAGTTGGCTCGGAGTTGTACCTGCAATATCTGAATGAATTTGTACATAATTTGATTATTTGTGACCTCGCCCCACTGCTTCGTGACAAAGTCATCTTTAGTGTTGATGACGGGACCCGTGAAGATCCGGGGTAGAATAGGTCTTCTGCAACCCATGCTTGCCGTAAAAGGCGACTGACTGGATCGGATGGTCAGACTCGCTGACTTGGTTGATGCATGACATCGATCCCAATTGCGTGGATCGATGCTCATGATATCAATAACTGGATTGCCTTGTCCAGACTCGATTATTTACAGACCACGGTCATATAGCTGGAATATTGCCGAGTGCGGCGTTAAACAACAAACAAACATGGAGAATCCACTCAGTTGCGAATTTTTTAGTTTGGGTGACGACTTGGTTAGTCGTTTTTTTATCGTCCGTTTTACGGTATTTATTTTTTTTCAAATTTAATTTTGGTCACTATTTGTGATTAAGTGTCCACTGAAGTGTCCCCTGAAGTGTCCCCTGAAGTATTCAAATCCGCAAAGTGTGAGTTTGAGCAATATTTCAGCCATATCATGGCGAGAAATTATACATTTTTAATAAATATAATTATATATTTAAACTAAATAAAAACCTGTCATCAATGGACAGTAAAATTACTAGAATATCACAGATAAATATTTAAAACTAGTATACAACTGTAAAATGATATCACTATAAGTAACGGTACAATATGAAAAAGAGCTATAGATCGCCAGCAGCTGGTAGATCACCATGTTAGGGTACATGGGGACTTACAGTACTTTTGTTACCTGCATGGACTCCAGCCGGATTTACATCATCCCTTCCGTTGTTGGCGATTAATGACAAATTTAGCCAAAGTTAAATGGACATATATACTTCGATTAAAATTGTAGTGGAAAAACAATTACTTTGAATGACGTGGTCTAATATACCCTCTTTGGGGAACAATTATTTTACACTACTTCAACACCCACCAAGGGTAAAGCCAACAACAATCTCAGTTAACAAGTTTCTCTCTACCAATTCTAAAATATTTATTAAATACAAAACATATATTTCAAAAAGTATTTAATAATTCTATTTCTTTAAAAAAATACAATAATTACATGAGAACTTGAGCGATGAAACTTCGAAATAGTTATCCCTTGTGATGGAAAAATCAATAGAGTCAAGCAGGACATGCTTGACTGTGATTCATTCATCACAAGGGAGGATCCTCACATTTTAACAAATATTCATGAGTATATCGAGAATGGCCAATACGACATCGTCTTAATACGACCTCTTCAAATCTGGACTGACAACCCAAGTAGGTATAACCAATAGTTGCTTTTATTGCATGTAATTTATTTATACCCACTTGGCTGTCCCACTTAAGCTGTACATCTGTATGTACTATGGAACAGGACGTGAAGTGTCCCCGACTACCTTGTCCCCCGCCACCTCGCACCAACTGCTCACGCACAGCATGGAGCTTCTTCTGGTATCATGGCAAGTTTTGCAAGGGTTGCCAGTACTGTGTCATCGTTCACGGGTCAGATCACACAGACACCTTGCCACAGGTACATGTATGTTGTAAACTGACCAACCAGGTCATTCGTATGTTGTCATCGTGCTACTGCCCAGGAAACATGATGGGTGTACACAGTAGAATCTCACTAGCCCTGTTGATCCAGAAAGCCCACCTTCCAGGTGAATGGTTCAAGAAAGTATACTCAACGCAACTATTAAAGGATCGTCTACATGGAAATGAATGGTAAAGTTGATGCCAACAAAATGTTCATGGTCACAAAACACTCGAACACAACCAATTGTCATTATCTGCACTTGCAACTGGAGGGATGGAATCATCGTTTCCAAACCTCATCATTGGTACAGTTTTATAACAGGCACTTGCAACAATGTGTCAACTTCTCAGCACTGTACATCGTGCCAGATGCACCATACGGGTAATATAGTCAATGTCAGGTGGCAGCACTTTCAGAATGTTATTGGGAGAATATGCTCGTTGGTAATAAATTTGGAAATAATACACTCATTGTTTTACCAAATTATGTTTGGCAATTGTTTTTCAGTCCAATATAAAACCGGTGATTCTTCAATAGTTGCGCGAAGTATATGACAGTTGCAACATTCACGGCTAATCTGTATATATGATTTTGTGCATCTACGTTATAGGACGTGAAGTGTCCCCATCTACCTTGCCCACTCCCCGCAAACTGCACACGTAAAGCCTGGAGCTTCTTCTGGTATCACGGAATGTTTTGCAAGGGTTGTCAGAACTGTATACCGGAGGATACCGAAACAGGTCTCACTGACAGTGCTGCTAAGGTACGTGTTTGTTTTGTTTGTTGTGTAACGCCCCTCAGCAATATTCCAGCCAAATGACGGAGGCCTGTATATGATCTGACTCGAATCGCCGCAGGGGACATGTACATGAGTGGGTGAGTATGGTTTTTATGCCGCTTTTAGCAATATTCCAGCAATAACACGGCGGGGGACACCAGAAATGGGCTTCACACATTTTACCCATGTCGGGAATCGAACCTGGGTCTTCGGCGTGACGAGCGAACGCTTTAACCACTAGTCTACCCGACCGCCCCAGCTGTACATTAACTGTGTGCAACACTCGATTTCGGGGACATAAATTGTAAACTTTGAATACAGTAAACTACGGTTATAACGAACTAAAAGGGACTACTAATTTTAGTTCGTTATAACCGTAGTTCGTTATAAGTACATGTACAGCATGACTACAGCAAGTAGTCGGGACCAAAAAGTAAGTTCGTTATATCCGTCAGTTCGTTATAAGCGTGTTCGTTATAACCGTAGTTTACTGTATATTCCTTTAAGAGGCTTGAATGGTGTTGTATCGATTCACGCAATTGAAATGCGATGACATGAATGAACCAAGTCAACGGGTACGTCCACCCGATCCATTTATTCGCCTCTCTCGCCAAGCCTGGGTTGCTGTACCTATATCATCACCCGGAATCCCCAGGGGATTGTTCGGGTGTATTTTAAAGTGGTTCATTATTAGGTTTGTATTAGTGTACTTAATTAAGTAATGAAATATGTCTGTCTTATGTCTGTCATCAAACAGGCATTTGGTTAATTGAAACTATACTCAGCATGGCAGGCTGCTCTATCACGGTTGATCAACCTAGAGATGAGGGAAACACTGAGATAAACTAGAATGTTACATGATTTAAATGATCCCTGTAAAATATATTCGTCAAAGGTACAAGGACAGTTCCATCAGCCACGGGGTGGACAATCCAATACTTCTTTGCGAGAGGTTAAAAGGGAACCCCAAACACAGTTGTAGAATTAACAAGAAGTTTTCATAAACGTGCGATAATCCCTTTGCATACACACAGCTAACGTCACATTGTAATCCCTTTGCATACACACAGCTAACGTCTCATTGTAATCCCTTTGCATACACACAGCTAACGTCACATTGTAATCCCTTTGCATACACACAGCTAACGTCTCATTGTAATCCCTTTGCATACACACAGCTAACGTCACATTGTAATCCCTTTGCATACACACAGCTAACGTCACATTGTAATCCCTTTGCATACACAAAGCTAACGTCACACTGTAATCCCTTTGCATACACACAGCTAACGTCACATTGTAATCCCTTTGCATACACACAGCTAATGTCACATTGTAATCCCTTTGCATACACACAGCTAACGTCACATTGTAATCCCTTTGCATACACACAGCTAACGTCACATTGTAATCCCTTTGCATACACACAGCTAACGTCACATTGTAATCCCTTTGCATACACACAGCTAACGTCTCATTGTAATCCCTTTGCATACACACAGCTAACGTCACATTGTAATCCCTTTGCATACACACAGCTAACGTCACATTGTAATCCCTTTGCAGACACACAGCTAACGTCTCATTGTAATCCCTTTGCATACACACAGCTAACGTCACATTGTAATCCCTTTGCATACACACAGCTAACGTCACATTGTTCGGTGCTCCTCAATAGTTTAATGTTGTGTTAAGAATGCAGTGACAAATCTGTAATGAGATGAAAGTGTGTTCTGCATCAGAATCACCAACACTAGACAGTGGGCATGGCAATATCTGTTTCCCCTGTCCAGTTCTGTTAAATATGTTACAGGATGTGAAATGTCCGCATCTCCCCTGCCCATTCCCTGGCAACTGCACCCACAAGGTGTGGAGTCATTTCTGGTACCACGGCAAGCTGTGCAAGGGATGTCAGTTCTGTGTCAACGTTACCAGCACCACGACAGACGATGCTGTCCCTGACGTAAGCAGTAAACCAGAACAAGCAGACCCACACGCGCGCCCGTGTGCACGTGCAGTAATATTGAATGCGACCTCAAATCCGATTTTACATTTAATGCAATAAAGTAAACCTAGCATTCATAGAAGAATGAAACATTTCATTATCTGATCTTTATATGTTCAAAGACTTAACCTTTTGAACTCTTTGATTGTTAATATTTTCTAAGACTCTTTTTTTGTCTAACGCGGATTATTAGCCAAACTCAGTATGAATGTTTGAAAATGAATGGCAATAACTAAACATTTCTATAACTTTGAAAACAGTAGGCAGAACCATGGTCGGAAGTAATTACAATTACACCGTTGGCGATCAGTTCATTTTCGTAAAAAGGCAAGGTTTTTGTCCGATGTCGTGCTATCATGTTAGCTATCATTGACAAACTAATAACCCTCTGAGGCAGGATATCTCCATTCCAAGACTTCAAAAAAAGGGAACGGTTTGATGTAAAAATTATTGTCAACCCCGATCAAGTCTGTTGACATCAAAGTAAAGCTGAACAGGACAGGTGAACTCCATGAGGATGTCGGTGTTCTGAGATGGAAGCTAAACACAGAACTAACATGAGGAAAATGGGCTTTGGGTTTGGGTCCATAATAAAACAAACATAATTATAACAAACTTTATATGTTCCGCTACAATACTTTACATTGGAGCAGAGGTCGAAGTTTGGTGGAAATGTTAATCGTGAACCTATTTGTATTTTAGCCTGAGTACAGAAATCTTAACATAAATGTACACCTGTGTAAACGTTGCGTGACCAATTGCATGGGAAAAGCGTTCGCTTATCACGGCGATTTCCGTCATGTGTGGAGGCCTTATTTTGGCGAAATATGACTTACTCAAAGCGGCGTAAAACCACACCATTCACTCATCAATTGTGGAAAGTGGGTGAAATATACAGACACACATGCAGGCACAGACACCCAGTCGCCTAAAAAGCCGCAATTGTCTGTCCTGAGCTGCTTCATGTAGGCACAGCGGAAAGCTATGATTGAGGGTTCGAAACCCGGTTCGCCTAGATTAGGTTTCTAGGTTTGTCAGCACCTTCCCCGTGGTTCTGGGTTTCAGCAAAGCTGTAAACGTCTGAGACCTGAATCACTTCGGGCTTTTCTCCCACATTAGGCTGACACGCCGTGATGTTACTTGCATACTGTTCAAAGTGGGGTTAAAATCAAGCTCAATTAATCACAGACCCGTGAAGATCTGGGGTAGAATAGGTCTTCAGCAACCCATGCTTGCCGTAAAAGGTGACCATGCTAAGGCAAAGGCGACTATCCTTGTCGTAAGAGGCGACTAACGGGTTTGGGTGGTCAGGCTCGCTGACTTGGTTGATGCATATCATCGTGTCTCAATTGCGTAGGGCCAGTGAAGATGCAGGGTAGAATAGGTCCTCAGCAACCCATGCCTGTCTAAAAGGCGACTATGCTTGTCGTAAGAAGCGACTAACGGGATAGGGTGGTCAGGTTTGCTGACTTGGTTTATGAATGTCATCGATCCAAATTGCGTGGATCGATGCTCATGATGTCAATCACTGGTTTGTCCGGTCTAGACTCGATTAAGAAACCGCCGTCATGTAGCTGGAATATTGCAGAGTGCAGCGTTAAACAACAAACATACAAACTAAACACATACCAAATGTCATTACAGTTTGTACAAACATGACCATGTGAGTGAGAGAGTTAGTATAGTTTTACGCCGCTTTTAGCAATATTCCAGCAATATCACGGCGGGGGATACCAGAAATGGGCTTCACACATTGTACCGATGTAGGGAATCGAACCCGGGTCTTCGGCGTGACGAGCGAACGCTTTAACCACAAGGCTACTCGACCGCCCCACATGTACATGTAATGGCCATACTTGACGTTTCATATTGAAATCAGATTCGAACCTCCTAAGCATCATTGGTGAGAAAAATCATATACAATTTCATTGGTCCATTGGTTTCTGAGGAGATGAGGTTTATAATGCGAGGAGATGCAGTTCGGGAGAATTCAGGAGTTTCGTTAAGATGACCGAGAATGACCATAAAAAATGTTTTTAATATAAATTTAGTTGCCGTGGCGGCCATATTGAAAATCGGATTAGAACAAACTGGGGTGTTGTAATTGGCGGGAACAAGTATTTGGTACTTCAGTGTCATTGCTTGAATTGTTTCTGAGACGGACAACGGACAAACAGACCTTGACATTCTACCGCACCGGTGCGTCATTTTAAATCCTACGCATCAATATTTGTTATTGCCAGACAAAAATTCTTTTCAAATTCCCCGCGTTGTATGAAGCATACTTTGTTATCCAAACAATACAATGCTTGACACTTGACCTTGAATGAAAGGGCCGAGTTCGATGTTTGCCCAGTTGTGTTTGTTTGTTTCATGGTGGAAAAAAACATGAAGGGTTCCTCACTCCTCAGTGTGCTTGTTTTTAAATTTGGTGTGAAGCTATTAGCAACTGACATTATTAAAGGCTCTGTCCATCAATTGTCATCAATTGTTTTTTAATATGACATTGCATAAATCACTCACTCACTCACTCACTCACTCACTCACTCACTCACTCACTCACTCACTCACTCACTCACTCACTCACTCACTCACTCACTCACTCACTCACTCACTCACTCACTCACTCACTCACTCACTCACTCACTCACTCACTCACTCACTCACTCACTCACTCACTCACTCACTCACTCACTCACTCACTCACTCACTCACTCACTCACTCACTCACTCACTCACTCACTCACTCACTCACTCACTCACTCACTCACTCACTCACTCACTCACTCACTCACTCACTCACTCACTCACTCACTCACTCACTCACTCACTCACTCACTCACTCACTCACTCACTCACTCACTCACTCACTCACTCACTCACTCACTCACTCACTCACTCACTCACTCACTCACTCACTCACTCACTCACTCACTCACTCACTCGTGACAAGAATGTGCCCGAGAAACCTTTTTTATGCAACCTTATATTTTACAGACGAGTCCAAGTTGCCCCCATCTACCCTGCCCACCGCCTTTCCCGAACTGTGCCAGGTTTGAGTGGACTCACTTCACCTACGAGGGCAAGGTGTGCCGCGGGTGTCAGATGTGTGTGTACTGGAACATATCCAGGCCGGCCGCCAGACAGGTAGGCCGTGGACTAATCAATGTCTCGTTAATCCAGACTGTACCATTACGAGTATTTAGCACATTTCTGGATTAATGAACCACCGGATCGATGTAACTTCTTGTTAAAAAAAAAGTCAAGGCCATGTACCTTTGTCTCCTTTATATTACCTACTGTGAAAAATCGCGTCCTGAAAACAATTTGGTTGCTTTTTTTTTGTTTTACGCTCACTGAGCAATATTCCAGTGATTGATATCATGAGCATCAATTCAATTGGGATCGATGACATGCTTCAACCAAGTCAGCGAGCCTGACCACCCGATCCCGTTAGTCGACTGTTACGACAAGCATAGTCGCCTTTTACGGCAAGCATGGGTTGCTGAAGACCTATTCTACCCCGGAATCTTCACGCCTTTTTGTATATGACACATTGTGACATATTTCATTGATATACTGAACAAGAATCGATTATCTAATGACTTACTTTGGAATTGTTCAGTGACAATATTTATTCGAATAACTTTTTAATTATATCTCTGCTTATTTGCGTCTTGTCAGATGACCCAGCACATGTTGTTGGTTTGTTGTTGTCTCAGTTCTCCAGCTGTAGGACGCTGTAGGTCCACCCAATGATGCCAGATGTTGGTAAACGCCTTTTGCCAATTCACTTTGGACGCTAAAATCGATCAGCGTTAACATATAACTCCCCCGATCACGATAGTTAAAATACTTTAACCCCGTGTCAATTCCGGGTTATAATCCCCGGTATCCAGTAATTGATACATTAGGCGAATAAATGAATCTGGTGGTCAGGCTCGGTGACGTGGCTGTTGCGAATCGTTTGTACCACAGCTCATATTATAAATCACTGGATTGTCTGATTCAGACTCGATGTTATACAGGCCGCTGTCATATGGTTGTGATATTACTGATTGCGTCGTTACACAACACAACACAACACAACACAACAGATATTCTGTGATGAATGTAAGATGTGCTAACAACCTGTGCAGGGACTATTGTTTAATATCGTTTGTTTGTTTGTTTGTTGTTTAACGCCGTTCTAAGCAATATTCTAGCCATATGACGGCGGTCTGTAAATAATCGAGTCTGGACCAGACAATCCAGTGACTAACATCATGAGCATCGATCCACCCAATTTGGGATCGATGACATACATCAACCAAGTCAGAGAGCCTGACCACCCGATCCCGTCAGTCGCCTCTTAAGACAAGCATAGTCGCCTTTTATGGCAGGCATGGGTTACTGAAGATCTATTATTCTACCCCGGATCTTTACGGGTCTATTTTTTATAAGACGGGACAAGATAAGTATAACCACACACTTCGTTTGACATTAAACTTTTGAAGACAATGATCAAGTCAATTTTGATTTCATCAAAACATCAATTATACGCCGTGGGGATTCCTTGTCAGTATTGGTCCCCACAAAACTATGCTGGTCGACCTTGAGGCGACGAAATGGGTGGGATGGTCTGGCTCGCTGACTTGATGTATGTCATAGTATCCTATTCCGTTGGTCAATGGACCCGTGAAGATTCCGGAGTAGGGTAGGTCTTCAGCAACCCATGCTTGCCTTAAAAGACGTCTATGCTTGTCGTAAAAGGCGACTAACGGGATCGGGGGGTCAGGCTCGCTGACTTGGTTGATGCATGTCATCGAACCCAATTGCGTGGACCGGATCGGATGGTCTGGCTCGCTGACTTGATGCATGTCATAGTATCCTATGCCGTAGGTCGATGAACACGATGTCAGTCACTGTATTGTCAACACTCAAATATTTACAGACCGACATCATGTGGCTGGAATATTGCCGAGCGCGGCGCTAAACATCAAACAAAACAAAGCAAACAAACCAAAACTTACTTACACAGCCACTGTGATACAGTTACAATGTTATGATTTTAGAAACACTGTTTTGTTTTATCATATAATATTCATTAAAGGTTTGACTCTTTGTTCTGCCGTAAGGTCCACCTCGAGTGCCCGGTGTTCAAGTGTCCAGCCCCTGGCCCGTGTGACACGCCCTACTCCATCCACGAAGTGACCATCCCCGGAGTCTCACACAAATGCCCCGGATGTCCGTACTGTCCATCCGAGTCCAGTCCGGTCAAACGATTAGTAAGTCCCCGAATACTTGGCGTGATCACCAGATCCTTATACTGCGATGACTTGTCATCACTCACCCGCGGAGGAATTCCGGGTATGCATCAACCTATGCTGGTCGTAAGAGGCTGCTGAAGTTCAGTAATTTTGGTTAATAGCTAACAGCTTGTCATCGTTGCCCGATGACCTGGGTCGTTGGTCGCACTGGATTATTTTCAAGGCGCTGCAGTTGGAGCAATGCCTGGTGCGGAGTTAAACAACAACAAATAAAACCAACGGACCCGTGAAGATCCGGGGTAGAATAGATCTTCAACAACCCATGCTTGCCGTTAAAGGTGACTATGCTTGTCGTAAAAGGCGACTAAACGGATCGGGTGGTCAGGCTCGCTGACTTGGTTGATGCATGTCATCTATCACAATTGCGTGGATCGATGCTCATGATATTAATCACTGGATTGTCTGGTCCAGACTCGATTATTTACAGACCGCCGATTATCTGGAATATTGCTGAGTGCGGCGTTAAGCAACAAACCAAACCAGTGAGTGAATCTAACAAAGGTGAGCATCGATCCCTAACGAGGCAACATTTGGATCGGATGGTCAGACTCTGTCACCTGGTTTATCTTGTGTCATCGTATCCTGCCAGATTGGGACGTTGCTCCCAATGTCAACCACTGGTTGAGCTGGCCCGGACTCGACTATTTATAGGGCGTCATCAGATAGATGGAATATCACTAACTTTGGCAACAAATGGACTTTAAATATGTCACACACTATCTGGGAAATGCTATTACATTCATTTTATTTTATACATGTATATTCTGGGTAATGATATTGTGTCAGACGACTCGTGGTGATTCCGGCGAATGAACATATGTGCCCGTCTCTGCTTATCGTAAGTTTGTGTGTTTGTTGTTAAACGCCGCACTCAATAATATTCCAGCTATATGTAAATAATCGAGTCAGGACCAGACAATCCGGTGATTGGCATCATGAGCATCGATCCACGCAATTGGGATACGATGGCATGCAACAACCAAGTCAGCGAGTCTGACCACCCGATCCCATAGTCGCCTCTTACTCAAGCATAGTCGCCTTTTACGGTTATCATGGGTTGCTGAAGACCTATTCCACCCCGGATCTTCCCGGGTCGCAGTAGTAATGGGCGATCAGACAGTGACTAGGTTCACTGCATGTCATCGTATGTCAAATGCTTGGATCGGTGTTCATGATGTCAATGACTGGGTTGTCCATTTGAGAATCAATTATTTACAGACCGCATTAATTAAGCTGGAATATCGGTAGTAACATGAAACGTTTGGGATATTTTACGACACTTCCCGAAGGCTCAAGTAACACTGAGCTCCAAAACTGAACCTCTAAAACTATATACAGCGGCGTGGGGATTAGCACCAGAAGGTACTACACACCGCCTTTCAGTAACACTGAAAAGACTATAAATCATGTCTTCTGTCATTATATTGATATAAGTAAGCTTTGCATCGACTAGACGCAGGTGTGGAACACGTCTTCAGCTGATCTGTTCCTGAAACGTTTCAGAAAAATGACAGTTGTACATTTAGTTTGTGTTAGTTGACGGACTAGATCTCTGTGTTAAATCAACCAAGGTCAAAGGGCGGAAGAGAGAGGATAGAAAGGGTGAAGGGAAGATAGATAGAGAGGGTTGTGTTTGTTTGTTTTATAACACCGCACTCAAGTCTGAGCCAGACGGGGGGCACGGGTGGCCCAGTCGTCTAACGCGCCGCGATTCGCGTCCCTTGGGCACACCAGAAACCTATGATTGTGGGTTCGAATCCCGGTTCGCCCCGATTATGTTTCTAGATTTGTCAGCACCATACCCGTGCTCGTCGGTTTCACCGAAGTGGTAAACGTCTGAGACCTGCACCACTTCGGGCTTTCCTCCCACATTAAGCTGACACGCCGCGATATAACTGGAATAATGTTAAAAGCGGCGTTAAACCTAACTCACTCACTCACGCACTCACTCACTCACTCACTGAGCCAGACAGTCCAGTGATTGTTGTGAGAAACGATCGACGCCGTCGGGGTACGATGACAGGATATAAACCAAATCACCGAGCCTGACCCTCCAATCCATTTGGTCGCCTTTCACGTCAGCATATATATTGCGGGTGAATACCTATTATCATTAAGGGTCCATCGGTTGACCAGCGATGTATGGGATACAGAGGGAGAGGGGATTGGGTTGGTTGGTTGGTTGGTTTGTCGTTTAACGCCGCACTCAGCAATATTCCAGCGATATGACGGCGGTCTGTAAATAATCGAGTCTGGACCAGACAATCCAGTGATTGATAGCATGAGCATCGATCCACGCAATTGGGTTTGATGACATGTATCAACCAAGTCAGCGAGCCTGACCACCCGATCCCGTTAGTCGCCTTTTACCGCAAGCACGGGTTGTTGAAGACCTATTCTACCCCGGAATCTTCACTGGTCAGTTGGGATGGTAACATATACATGTTGACAAATGCAAGATACCATTCACATTTCCCGTTCTTTTTATCCAGCTTGCATCGTGCCCCGACGTGAGTTGTGCTGAACCTGGGCCATGTGACGTGCCCTTGAAGATGTCGACTCTCGACATTGACGGCCATGGCTGCCCAGGCTGTGCCTACTGCCCTCAGTAGAACTGGGGTGGACATACACCTTCGTTGTCAACGACAGAAATAAATTTAATGAAACATGAACACTACTCCTCTATTTACCCACTCCTGCTACATGGGTGAGTGAGTGAGTGAGTATAGTTTTACGCCGCTTTTAGCAATATTCCAGCAATATCACGGCGGGGGACACCAGAAATGGGCTTCACACATTGTACCCATGTCGGGATTCGAACCCGGGTCTTCGGCGTGACGAGCGAACGCTTTAACCACTAGGCTACCCGACCGCCCCCCTGCTACATGGACACCCGATTGCGGGATTGTGCAGGTCGTGACAAATGGAAATGTGACGTCGCATCTGCAATATCTCCGCAATAAAGTGACATAAACACGTTAGACATTAAGAAAAAGCATATGCAGAAGGGCAGTTATGTGTCTATTATTTAACACCGCACTCAGTAACATTCCAGCTGTAGGACTGCGGTCTGTAAATAACCAAGACAATCCAAATGATTAAGGTCATGAACATAGATCTACGCAAGTTGGATTCGATGACATGCACCAACCAGGTCAACGAGCTTGACCACCGGATCCCGTTAGTCGGCTCTTATTGTAAGCAAGGTTTCAAGACCAACTCTTACCTGGATCTCCATGAGCATGACATGCATCAACCAAGTTGGCGCCCATCACCCGGACCTTCATGAGGTGTAGAACCAATAGGATAATGTTGGTACACCTGGCGGCTGCATTCAGTGAAACCCGTGAAGATCCAGGGTAGAATAGGTATTCAAGCAACCGATGCTTGCCTTAAAAGGCGAATGTGCTTGTTTGTAAGAGGCGACTAACGGGATCGTGTGGTCAGGCACGCTGACTTAGTTGATGCATGTAATCGATCCCAATTGCGTGGATCGATGCTCCTGATATTAATCACTGGACTCGATTATTTACATATAGCTGGAATATTGCTGAGTGCGGCGTTAAAACAACAAACCAACCAACCAACCTTTGATCATTTTTTCAATTTTGTCCAACTGCACATGAAGATCATAGTCAGTGGCCATATTAAAGACCTCTTCCCGGGAGTAGTCATATCTGTCAATGTACAGCTCCAGTCCGCACAAGATTATAGGTTCCCAGGAACCGACGAGGGGTGATTGAAGAACCATGAGCCCAACACAGAAACCCTCGACCCAAACACAATAATATTGTTAATTTTATTCAACATAATCCCCTTCCACTTTGATAAACTTTGCAAACGATGTTGGAGGGGTTATATACCAGTTTCGAAGAAGCGCTTCTCTTGACTGTCCATAAAGTTCTTCAAAGCTCCTATGACGTCGTCGTTCGAGTTGGAATGGGTTCCCGCTAAAGCTTTCTTTATGTTTGGGAACAGATGGAAGTCTGATGGAGCCAAATCAGGAGAATTTTGTTTGGACTCAGGTTTCATCCACAATAACAAAATAAGTGCAAGAACCTATCCTTGATCAGCTTCAAACTGCAAGCTTATCACAAGATATGTTAGCCTTGTTCGCTTTTGATCAGATGTCAGAAGGTTTGAAACCGAACGAGCTGATACTTTCTTCATTGCCAACGTTTCTGTGATAATGGAATGTACTCTCCCAGGGGAATTGCCTCCTGAACTAGCAATACGATGCTCAGTCATTCGCGGTCGATCATCGCAATATCAAGGATTCTCTGGATCATTCTGGTGATGCTGACGTCACAGGCCTTCCGGGACGGAATTGTCTTCAAGGCTCTCACTACCACGCCAACCCATGCTTGCCGTAAAAGGCCACTAACAGGATCGGGTGTTCAGGCTCGCTGACATGGATGATGCTTGAAAATTGCTGAGTGCGGCGTAAAACAACAAACCAACCAACATGATATTAAGGACTATCTCACCCTTTTCCCACCAATCCCTTGTCGCAAACTAGTTGTAGTTGTAGAGTGAACGTGTAGTGTCCTGTATGTATTTAGCCTGCTGCAATAATCTTGTACCGACTGTCTTATCGTGTCATAGAATGTTTACTTCCTCTGGAACAGATTAGAGAGTTGGTCATGAATTAAAGCTGTGTCGGGTCGAAACAGTTTTCCTCCGGGTGAGCTACATTGTGGTTTATGGATGGAGATATCAGTAAGATTAGCAATAGTGAAGCACTTCTCATTTTTACGTATAATATGTAAGGATAAGAATTATAAGAAATCTCCCCGTCAACAGTCTGCACCCTTTACGATCAGCCTCTCCTACTTTGGAACAGTTAGCCACAAAGTCCAGAGACTCTTACAGAAGCAGCCTAACATTGATGCAGTCTTCAAAAGTAGTCAGAACACAATAAAAGCCACAGGGAAACCACCATCCAGCCACAAACTAGAACCACCAGGAGCAGTGTACCACATTACGTGCAATTGTAGACACGCTTACATTGGAGAAACATCTAGGCCCCTCAAAACCCGAATTTAAGAACATGAAAGATCAGTCTCCAAAGATGACTCTAAATCAGCTCTATCAGACCATATCCGTGACAACCAAAGCCACAGCATCCTGTGGAAGAGAGTCACAACCCTCACCAACAACCTCAAAGACTTCAAATTAAAATAAAAAACTACAAGAGGTCATCAACATCTAAAGACTCCTACCGTCGATAAACCGTGACCAAGACGATAACATACCCACGGCGTACTATCAACTAATCAAAGACCCCAATCATTCATAATTCTGTTGTTTATATTACTGGCTTCATCCCTTTGTTTATGTTACTGACTTCGTCGGTAATATCTTGACTACCCTTGTGTGTACATAACAGACTTCTCCACTCCAGTATAACTACATCTGATATCTACTCTACTGTATAAACATTGTCTCCTACCTTATAAATACTTGTCAACTATACTCTGTATATATCTTACCTGACAACGGTGTCTGGCGCAAAATCCACGTCATTAGAGGCTTAAAACGACATAAAAAAAACCCCTAACATTAACAACTCAACCAACCCCGCCCAAAAAGCAAATAATCTCGCCAACCACTTTTCGGCCGTTAGCAGTAACACCAACTTCAGCCAAAAATTCCAAGACAAACTTAAAACAGAAAACAAACCAACAAAAGAACCAAACAATAACAATCTGGAAATAAACCAATCCTACACAATGGAGGAGCTCCTCTACGTAATCCAAAACAGGAAAAAGGGCACAGCCCCAGGATTAGACCTAACTTCTTACAAAATCATTAAAAAACTCCCCCTAAAACTACTCCAGGCACTACTCAAACTATACAATCTCATCTACCTAAACGGACAGGTTCCTACTCCCTGGAAACAGGCCCTAGTCATTCCAATCCCTAAACCTAATAAACCAGCTAATCAAGCTAACTCATATAGACCAATATCCCTAACTTCAAACTTATGTAAAGTAATGGAATCAATGGCTAAAAATAGATTACAACATTACCTAACCCAAAATAACATCATAAACCCAGATCAAAGCGGTTTCACTCCTGGCCGCTCAACCCTAGATAACCTCGCCCGACTAGAGCAAGATATTAAGACAGGACAACTAAATAAACAATATACCACAGGCATCTTCTTGGACTTCTCTAAAGCTTTCGACATGGTATAGCACGACGGGCTAATACAAAAACTTAAAAAAATAGGACTCAAAGGTCAGATAATAAAATACATCCAGGACTTCCTAAACAATCGTAAAATAACCGTGGGTATAGACCAAATACTATCGGACCAATGTCCCCTAGAAAATGGCACTCCCCAGGGCAGTATCCTCAGCCCCACCCTCTTCAATATAATGATAAACGATCTATTCGAGGGCCTATCCCCTAACGCAAACACATCAAAATTCGCGGATGATGGAGCCCTCTGGATCCGCACTAAAAGCATTAAAATGGCCCAAAATTTACTCCAAAAATCTCTTAATAAAATACAACAATGGGCTGACAAATGGGGCTTCTCCCTTAACTCAGAAAAACAACAGGAATAGTATTCAAACATAAAAACATGAAACCCGCCTCCCCAATCCTCCTGCTAAACAACCAAACAATCAAATTTCAAAAACAAACCAAATTCTTAGGACTTATTTTCGATGAACATCTCACCTGGGATGCTCACATCCAAAACCTAACAACTAAATGCAGTAAAGACCTAAACACCCTAAGATGCCTATCTGGCTCTAACTGGGGAGCCTCCAAAGATATACCCTCCCCTCTCTCTACATATCACTAATTAGATCAAAACTAGACTACGGCTGCGCCATATACAACACCCTAAACAACTCTCTATCTAAAAAACTTGACTCAATACAATATCAGGCTCTCAAGCTAATTACACGCACCCAACATGGCACCTCCTACACTTCACTTCAGGCCTTAACAGGAGAAATGCCACTAAGTCTACGCAGGGAACAGCTAAGCTTAAATTTCTGGGCCGCGTCCCAATCAAACCCTCTCATTCAAAACTTAATAAACCAAAATATCAGCCCAAAAAAACAAGCTCTAGCTCGTAAACACCCCTTACTTACCCCAATATCCCAAAGAATAACAAACTACCTAAATGAACACCAAATTAAAAATCTTAAACAAAACTGCAAACAATCAAATATCTTCACCCCTAAACTTAAAATACCCAAAATAGACACAACACTAGCTAGCAAAATAAATAAACAAACCGACCCAAACATAGCTAAAACCACCACACTAGCATACATACACGAAAATTGGCAAAATTGGTGTCACATTTACACGGACGGATCTTCAGATCCGACCTCCAAACACACAGGTTTCGGAGTCCATACCACACAACCAACTAAAACAACACAACCCTTCCGGGGATCCGACTCCCAAACAACCAATCAATATTCACGGCAGAACTAATGGGCATGGCCTCAGCCCTCCATAATCAAGAATCCCAAAACCACAAAAAAATCCTAATACTTACCGACTCCCTAAGTGGACTGCAAGCCCTCCAAAATAAAAATACCAACAACCGACCTAAATTGATAAATCAAATACTTAAAAGCTCCAACGACCTAACTAAGGCAGGCAAACAAATAACCTGCCCACGTAGGAATATACGGTAATGAAAACGCCGATAAGGCAGGCAAACTATCCCTCAAAATCCCAGAAATAAGCTTAAACTGACACATCTCAAAATCAGAAATTAAAAGCGTAAACAAGCCAAAAATCACCAAAAAATGGCATAACCTATATCTCAACTCAAATAGCCAAATCAAAAAAGTACTCAGCAAACCACTAACCAAACCAAAAATTCTCCATCCATCCAAAAAAATCTAGTGAGTAATCACTAAACTCCAAACAGGACACACCAACCTAAATAACCACCTAAACAAATTAAAAAAACACACTACAGGTAACTGCCCACACTGCAAACAACTAGAACCCCAGTACACGCACTCATCCACTGCACACACTACCTAACACATCGAACCGCATTACAAACCACCCTCAATCTAAACAAGGCTCTCACTCTAGAAGCAATACTAAACCCACAAAATAAACCAGAAAACTTCAAGGCCTTAGGCGTATTCTTAATCAAAACGGAACTAATAAAACGCATCTAAAAACACTATAAAGTACCAAATCAAAATCACATAAACAAACAAACATCCACTATACCCAGCTCCCTTAGTTCTCTCCCCCCCCCCCCCCCCCCCCCCCCCAATCGGCATCTATTCCAAATCTCAAAATTCCCAAATTCTATAAAAGCAACCCCTAGAGCCCCCTCTTGGGTTGCACACACCACTTTCACATTAAATGGCCGGGCCGGGCCCGTGTGCGATATACGCACCAGTCGGAAAGCGCACGTTAAATCTCCAAAGTAAGTAAGTAAGGTGTCAGTTGTTCATCCATACATCTTATCTTTACTTAGATAAGTACTTCACTTACCGATTACCTGACATGCATACTGCATCAACAGGACACACAGCACATCCACACTACATCACCAGCACATCCACACTACACCACCAGCACATCCACACTACACCACCACCGCATCCACCTGCACATCCACACTTCACCAGCAAATCCACACAACAACAGCACATCCACACTACATCACCACGACATCCGGACTACACCACGACCACATCCACACTACACCACCAGCACATCCACACTACACCACCACCGCATCCACCTGCACATCCACACTACAACACCAGCACATCCACACTACATCACCAGCACATCCACACTACACCAACAGCACATCCACACTACACCACCACCGCATCCACCTGCACATCCACACTACATCACCAGCACATCCACACTACATCACCACCGCATCCACCTGCACATCCACACTACATCACCAGCACATCCACACTACACCACCACCGCATCCACCTGCACATCCACACTACATCACCAGCACATCCACACTACACCACCACCGCATCCACCTGCACATCCACACTACATCACCAGCACATCCACACTACACCACCACCGCATCCACCTGCACATCCACACTACATCACCAGCACATCCACACTACATCACCAGCACATCCACACTACACCACCAGCACATCCACACTACACCACCACCGCATCCACCTGCACATCCACACTACATCACCAGCACATCCACACTACATCACCAGCACATCCACACTACACCACCAGCACATCCACACTACACCACCACGTCCACACTACAACACCACATCCACAGAACATCACCACCACATCCACACAACATCACATCCACACTACAACACCACATCCACACTACAACACCACATCCACACTACAACACCACATCCACACTACAACAAAACCACATCCACGCTACACCACCATGTCCACACTACAACACCACATCCACACTACAACAAAACCACATCCACACTACAACACCACATCCACACTACAACAAAACCACATCCACACTACAACACCACATCCACAGTACAACAACATATCCACACTACACCACCACATCCATACTACATCACCACATCCACACTACAACACCAGCACATCCACACTACACCAGCCGCACATCCACAGTACAGCACCACATCTACACTGCATCACCACATCCACACAACACCACATCCACACTACAACACCACATCCACACTACACCACCACATCCACACTACAACACCACATCCATACTACAACACCACATCCACACTACACCACCACATCCACACTACAACACCACCACATCCACACAACACCACATCCATACTACAACACATCCACACTACATCACCACATCGACACTACATCACCACCACATCCACACTACAACACCACATCCATACTACAACACATCCACACTACATCACCACATCGACACTACATCACCACCACATCCACACTACAACACCACATCCATACTACAACACCACATCCACACTACACCACCACATCCACACTACAACACCACCACATCCACACAACACCACATCCACACTACACCACCACATCCACACAACACCACCACATCCACACTACACCACCACATCCACACTACAACACCACATCCACACTACACCACCACATCCACACTACATCACCACCACATCCACACTACAACACCACATCCACAGTACATCCACACTACAACACCACATACACACTACAACACCACATACACACTACATCACCACCACATCCACACTACAACACCAGCACATCCACAGTACATCCACACTACAACACCACATCCACACTACACCACCACATCCACACTACACTTCACCACCACATCCACACTACAACAAAACCACATCCACACTACAACACCACATCCAAACTACAACACCACATCCACACTACAACACCACATCCACACTACAACACCACATCCAAACTACAACACCACATCCACACTACAACACCACATCCACACTACAACACCAGCACATCCACAGTACATCCACACTACAACACCACATCCACACTACAACACCACATCCACACTACAACACCAGCACATCCACAGTACATCCACACTACAACACCACATCCACACAACACCATATCGGCACTACAACACGACATCCACACAACACCACATCCACACTACAACACCACAACCAGTACATCACCACATCCACAGTACAACACCAGCACATCCACACTACAACACCACATCCACACTACACCACCGCATCCACACTACAACACCACAACCAGTACATCACCACATCCACAGTACAACACCAGCACATCCACACTACAACACCACATCCACACTACATCACCACACCCACACTTCATCACCACCACATCCACACTACAACACCACATCCACACTACAACACCACATCTACACTACAACACCACACTACAACACCACATCCACACTACAGCACCACATCCACACTACAACACCACATCCACACTACAACACCACACCCACACTACAACACCACATCCACACTAAAACACCACATCCACACTACATCACCACATCCATACTACATCACCACCACATCAAGACAACAACACCACATACACACTACAACACCACATCCACAGTACATCACCACCACATCCACACTACAACACCACATCCACACTACAACACCACATCTACACTACACCACCACGTCCACACTACAACACCACATCCACACTACAACACCAGCACATCCACACTACATCAACACCACATCCACACTACATCAACACCACATCCACACTACAACAGCAGCCCAACTGTAGTTCAGCTATTTATATCAACATTTAGTTTTCTTATCGCAAGCAACAAAACACTTTCCACATTCAATAAAACAAGCTCACGCTCCATTTTGTCGACACTGCACAATATTATCTGCACGAAGGTTTCAAAGATAACCTCTGACTGACCTAATACCTTCGCTCGTTAAAAACTCCAAGCATAATGTCATATTATCCTGTACGCGATTGACAAAGTCCGTTTTGATAAGCTTATCATACTACGATAACGTGGTGCATTACAACCCAAATATCAGCTTACAGCGAGACTCACGTGGTCACAGTGACTGTCTGAACAGGATGTGCTGTATGTGACTGGGTGTGACTGGCTGTGAAGGAAGGTTAGTACATATTTTCTCGAAGGACATGTTCATGAGAATGTAAGGAGATAACATTTTGTATTTTCAATCTGACCAGCAGGCTTTCTGATATCATCCAAGATATATGTTGTTGTATCTTAAATCTGGCCCTAGGCTCGCTAATCATTCGTGGATGAACACGCCCCAAGGACATGGTGTTAAATTGCTGCACATGAAGTGAGGTGAAATGGGGTCTAACGTCGCGTCCAAGGTTATTGCACTTATATAGCGACGTGCATGCACGTGTTTGTGTGTATGGCTGCTTGTACTAGTCCGGACTGATGCCGATTTATAGTGCTTGCACACTGAGATACCATGCCGCAGTTTAACATGAATACCTCACTCAGACACAGTACACGGACTCCGAGCCGACCAATTATTGTTTTAATGCCAAGGGTAACAACAAGTACCATCTTTAAACGTCTTTTGGTATGACGCGGCCGGGGATCGAACCCCTGACCTTCCGCTCTCCGGGCGAACGCTCTACCACTAGACCACGGAGGTGGTCTGCTGCACATGAGGTATGAGGGTCCATGTATTTGAGACCGTGTCATTTATGTGTATGACTTTATTGAAGGAACTAGAAAATGAATTGTTACATAAAGTGAAGATAGTTGTATCATGCTGTGGGACCGGTCACAAGGTACAATGTTCATATCAATAGCGCTCACTGCATTCGCCGAATGATTTCTTTCGTCAGTACGAATTTTCCGGGAAAGACAAAAAAACTTAAAGTGAGATATATACAACATACGTCACAGTGTGATAAAGACAATATACGCAGTAGTGTGATACAGATAACATAAATGTAGATGTACGTCACAATAAGATAAAGGCAATAAATGCAATAGTGTGATATAGATAACATACATGTACGCCACAGTGTGATAAAGACAGCATTGGTAATGGTGATATATACACAACATACGCAAAAGTGGGATAAATACAACATATATTGTGAGATAAGGAAAGCATAATCCATGGTGAGGTATAGACAGCCTACATGTACGTCTGAGACAAATAACACTTTGGACAATTCCAACCCGACTGTGCTCGGCCCGTGAAAATCAGGGGTAGAACAGCAACCAATGCTTGCCGTAAAAGGCGACTGTGCTTGCCGTAAAAGGCGACTAACGGTATCGGGTGGTCAGGCTCGCTGACTTGGTTGATGCAGGTGATCGTACCCCCATTGCGTGGATCGATGCTAATGATGTCGATCACTGGATTGTCTGGTCCAGACTCGATTATTTACAGACCGCCGTCATATAGCTGGAATATTGCTGAGTGCTGCGTTAAACAACACATCACATCCAAACATGCTCACTCTCATATAGACAGTGTTATTCATGGAGAGATATAGCCAGCCTACATGCACAATCAGATACAGACAGCCTACTTGCATGTCATTTAACATTTGAACTATTTCAAACATGCTCAGACCACCTCCGTGGTCTAGTGGTAGAGCGTCTGCCGGAGAGCGGAAGGTGTGAGAATATGATACCCTGCCTGACGCTTGGCACTAAGGGGCTGAAACAAGGAGTAGATGGCTCGGAGTCAGTATACTGTCACAGTGTCTAAGTGGGGTATTCATGTTAAACTGCGGCTTGGGAGCTCTGTGGGCTATAGCACTATGAAGTCGGCATTACATACACACACACACACACACACACACACACACACATACACACACACACACAATAATCTTGAATGAGATGCTCAATCCAATCTCACCTCACCTCACCTCACCTCACCTCACCTCACCTCACCTTCACACATGTGCTCAATCGGACAGCATCAGTCAGAGTGAGTGAGTGAGTGAGGGAGTTGGGTTTAAACAGAAAGTAATATCGCGGCATGTCAGCTTAATGTTTGAGGAAAGCCCGAAGTGATGCAGGTCACCGAAGTTTACCACTTCGGTGAAACCCAGGAGCACGGGTATGGTGCTGACAAACCTTGAAACATAATCGGGGCTAACCGGGATTCGAACCCACAGTCATAGGTTTCTAGCTTGCCCAAGGGACGCTACTCTGCACAGCAAATCGCGGCACATTAGACGGCTGGGCCACCCGTAGCCCCGCATCAGTCAGAGGTGATATAGAGACCACATTACTTACACATTTAGCGTTTGTATTCACATTTTTTACATTGATTTTTTTTTTGGCAGAATATTAACATCGCTGGACTTCGACAATGGCCGAGAAAAACCCACTTGCTTCCTTAGACATCACTAACATCAGGATAGCGCCTGAACATGGCATCTCTGTCGTCGAGCGCCCCCTACACAGGCATGCAAAAGCTGGTAATCTGTCCGCCTTGCTGAGGTTACTGGAAGAAGGTGCTGACATTAATGAGACGGACGAGCATGGTGACACAGCTCTTATAATGGCAGCGCAGTTTGGACACTGTAAAATAATGATACCTCTAATTGACAATGGGGCTGATGTTTCTCATACCAATAACCATGAAGAAGATGTGTTTCAGATTGCTGTTATTATGTCAGATCAGATTGCTGTTTTGGAAACTCTTCTCAGTGCAGCACCACACGATTCAGCAAAGGGCGAATTTAAACCAGTGATTCAGTCCATTGCATCTGCCTTAGCCAAAGCAGCTAGCCTGGGTTCGGTTGACAAAATCGAGGTCTTCTTAAAATCCAACCCAGGGTTGAATATTTGCGATAACGATGGAAATACAATCTTCCACTATGCAGCAAAAGCAGACAGAGAAGAGGTCATAGTGAGGTTCAGTCAACACTTTGACATCAATGTGCAAAACAAGAAAGACGGCGACACTCCTCTTCACGTGGCTTGTAAGCAAGGGCACAACGCGTCAATAACAACGTTGCTGAAAGAGAGAGCGGATCCGTGTCTTCAGAACAGGGAGGAGGACACAGTATTGCATTGTTTTGTAAGGGCAACAGCTGAAAACCAAGGACAGGCCGATAGACATGGGGAGGTGTTTGATATGCTGGTTGACAGGTGGACACGATGGAGCATGATGAAAAACCTTGACGAAAACAAGAGAGAAGCAGTAAACAGATTGATCAGGGAGGAGAAAAACGGAAAACAAGAAAGCATCATGTCTCTGGCGTTTGAAGTGGGAGCTATTGGAGTGATCAGCAAGCTTCTAGTCTTACAGGAAATCACCTTTACGAAAAATTCTTCGTTTTCCATCCAACAGTATGACATTACCAACGTCACACCCATAACTAAAGGATCAGATACATCAGGAAGGTCATGCCTGGAGCTTCTTCTTGACCACAACTCCAATGAAACCATTGCTCACGTTCTTGATCTTGAACCTCTGAAGAAGATTGAGAAGATGTACAGTTCAACCACGACATTTATATATCTTATAGTCATCTTCCTCCACGCGCTGTACATGTCCTTGTTCAGCTATTCCAGCACAGTCCTCATGGACAAGCTGAGGACGTCACCTAGTGATCATTCCTTTGACACTGCTACCCTCATCTTCTACAGCGTGGCACCACTCGAACCCATATGTTTCCTCCTTGCGTTAGTGCATAGGTTCCATTGTTCAAGGCAACCGTGGACTCGGTCCGGATTTCAGGCACTAGGGACATTTATGCTTCAGTGTTTTTCCATTATCCATCACGTCATATATTCTCTATTGGTGGCTGCGCTCCTTTACCAGTTTCATGCTCTAGAACTGTACAGTATGCACAACACGCTGTCCATAACACTTCTGATTGGATGGTTGACCACACTTAGTTTCACTCAAGGCCTTAAACCAATCCGATTCTTCTGGAGGATGATCCTACAGATGATAATGATCGACGTCTACAAGATCTTGTTTGTGTATGCCTTTGTTCTTCTGAGTTTTTCGTTTGCCTTGCATGTGCTTTTTCAGATCTCCGCACCAATCATTGAAACTTATCCAACTCCATTTCACACAATGTTCTTGGTATTTAGACTCATGTTTGGAATGAGTGAGCTTTTTGATGACAACTTTGAGAACAATATGAAAAAAGCTGGAGGTTCCCTTGCTCTACCAATCATCATTTTCACCGTATATATTGTTCTCGCTACTCTTATCCTACTTAACATTCTCATTGCCATGATGAATACGTCATATTCGCACATTCTTACAAATCTGAAACTTTCCCGGAGAATTGAAACCTTCCAACGTTCGATTCAACTTGAAAGAACTGTCCCTTTTCTGACAAAGCTTTTCAACAAAGCGCTTATCAGATGTGGCAAATTTGATAACCAAAAGAAACAGTTTGTAGAAGAGAAAGGCGGACGTTTGTGGTATTTGCAGTTTCCACGAAGGTTGGAAAAGGAAACAAGATTTACACAAAAGGCTCACATGACCCTAGAGCAGATGCTGACTCAAAGAATTGATGCCCTTGATGACGACTTTAAGGGACACTTACAACTGATACAGAAAACTTTAGAGAACATTCAAAAGGAACTCGTTTCTAGACGAATGAGTGTGTGAGCGGCTGTTGATTTGTACCACAGACAGCAAAATGCAGCTTATCAAGGCAGAGTAGATAATACAGTCTACATCAGACACGGGTTTGCCATACACCATGCCATAAGCACTCATGTTCGCTTGGGGGAAAGAGGACAGAAGCAGGCAGTTCACAGGTGTTATTTCTACTGCTAATTCGTTTGTAAAAGATGGACGTGCCAATATAAGGTTCATAAGGTTGGTTGGTTGGTTTGTTGTTTAACACCGCACTCAGCAATATTACAGCTATTTGACGGCGGTCTGTAAATAATCGAGTCTGGCCCAGGCGATCCAGTGATTGATATCACGAGCATCGATCCACGCAATTGGGATCGATGACATGCATCAACCAAGTCAGCGAGCCTGACCACCCGATCCCGTTAGTCGCCTTTTACGACAAGCATAGTCGCCTTTTACGGCAAGCATGGGTTGATAAAGACCTATTCTACCCCGGAATCTTCACGGGTCGGCTCATAAGGTCAATGATATGTTTTTGTGTGATCGGACACGAAAATGTTCGTCACTATGTTTTGACCTGAGAGTATTAGCCATGTTGATAGCGCTTAAACAATCATTTCCGTGTTATGTCAACCCCATTGCATATCTGTCTGTATTGAATGAAACAGAAACGAAACCTGTAAAAAAGCCACAGAGAATTATCATCATTGACGTGGAAGGTATCGTTTTCATATTACCACTTGATAAATGTACTCCTTGCAAAGCATTAATAAACATGGCACAACAATATTTTGTTAATAAAGCCATATATCAGAACAAGTTGCAGACCTCAAAGGATTCTGTGATGTGTGCAGACTATCACACAAAAGTGGCAGAAAGCTCACTGTACCGGAACATAACTACAATAAAATACGTTTATAACGAACACGCTTATAACGAACTAACTTTTTTGTCCCGACTATTTGCTGTAGTTATGCTGTATATATGCTTATAACGAACTACGGTTATAACGAACTAAAATTCGTGGTCCCTTTGAGATCGTTATATCCGTAGTTTACTGTACTCTTGAAAACACCCTGTAAAATGTGGTTTATGCCGTATATATATCAAGTGCAAATAAATCCAATCTGAGGATTGATCTTGTTTAAATGTAAGCAACAGAAACAGAGTGAGTGAGTGAGTGAGTTGGGTTTTACGCCGCTTCTAACAGTATTCCAGTTATATCACGGCGTGTCAGCTTAATGTGAGAGGAAAGCCCCAAATGATGCAGGTCACATACGTTTACCACTTCGGTGAAACCCACGAGCACGGGTATGGTGCTGACAAACCTAGAAAGATAATCGGGGCGAACCGGGATTCGAACCCACAATCATAGGTTTCTGGCGTGTCCAAGGGACGCAACTCTGCACAGCGAATCGCGGCGCCTTAGGAGACTGGGCCACCCGTGCCCCCCAACAGAAACAGAAAAGGGGCAAGGTTATGTTAGGCGCTCCCATGTGAGACAGAGGCTTGGTGAGAGAGCCTCACGCCTTAAGGGAGTGACAGAGTACGTTTATGTTTGACGCACTATATGTTATAAGCACAACCGGTTTTGATTTGAAGGAAACGTCATCGTTCGACCAACATATTTTTTTATTTGTAAATCATCTGATCCAAATCTATAGTTGATTGTATACAAGTACAAGTGTTATGTTTCTCAGACACTGCTACAGTAGATGACTAAAACCTCATTTTAGGTCATGTACATGTATATTATACACATGTTTGTCATTGTAACAGTAATATGTTGATGTGTTTAGAAATGATTTGTTTGTTTGTTTGTTTCACGCCGCACTCAGCAATATCCAAGCTGTATGACGGCGGTCTGTAAATAATCGAGTCTGACCAGACAATCTAGTGACTGACATCATGAGCATCGATCCATGCAATTAGGATCGATGACATCCAACCAAGTCAGCGAGCCTGACCACCAGATCCCGTTAGTCACTTATACGGCAATCATGGGTTGCTGAAGACCTATTCTACATCGGATCTGTCTAGAAATGAAACCCAATGTGATATGTACGCGTATGTATTAGCATCAGCACATTATTTAACCAGTATTTAGCGTGAACTGACTTAAGACTTCTGTACACATATACCAAAAGAATTACTTTGATATATTGTTGCACTAATCGACAGTTTTAATATTCTTCCATGATCTATATCGAATGTTTACTGCGCACCAGCTATACAACATGTATGATGTTGTTTTTGAACTTCCCTCAGTTTCGCTACGTTTGCAAGACAGGGATGTAAAAACCTATAAGTCTGGCATCACTGAAAAGTGAGAAATGGCCGCTGACTTTCCTACATGTGGTTGTAGACTTGCCAATTTAAAACCCACTGTTAAAACCACTAAACTAAATGGAACTGCATTTGTTTTAAAGTTTGTTTATTAGCCTGAAAAGAAACACGTCTCACCCACACAAACTGAAACTAATATTTTATAGACTCGTGTTAGTTATGTGGCAAAAGATACCGTAACTTTATTTCTGATGGTTGTCAGTGGCAGCAATTTGATTGAGGCGCTTGTAAAATATCACCCTTAGGCTGTGACCTGAACAGCGAGTAATTTAGAGCTGCCTTCCTCAGTTGTGGCTGTTTACAGTCGTGAATTCACTTCCGGGACTGACTTGATTGTTTCTCGGAGCATGGCTGTACCTTAAAAGCGAGACGGGGTCTTCTGTAACTTGACTTGTACACATATCTGTGCCGAGCTCTTTATCTGCTTCCAAAACTGTTTCCTTATTTTAAGAATAGAGCACGTGGCTCACTTAAGACATTCAAATGTGACTACGTCTTGACATTCATGAGTGCATTGACTCAGGAAATATTGCCTATTATTTATTACAGGCTCGCTGACTTGGTTGATACATGTCATCGATCCCAATTGCGTGGATCGTGGTTCATGATATTAATCACTGGATTGTCTGGTCCAGACTCGATTATTTACAGACCGCCGTCATATTGCTGGAATATTGCTGAGTGCGGCGTTAAACAACAAACCAAAACCTTTTTGAAGAGCAATATTTCAGAAGCTCCAGCCTTTTGTGTCTACATTTCACAACTTTTCAGGTGCATCGAGCATCTTCTTATTACGAAATTTCGGGCGGTCGGGTAGCCCAGTGGTTAAAGCGTTCGCTCGTCACGCCGAAGACCCGGGTTTGATTCCCGACATGGGTACAATGCGTGAAGCCCATTTCTGGTGTCCTCCGCCGTGATATTGCTGGAATATTGCTAAAAGCGGCGTAAAATCATACTCACTCACTCACATGGGTACAATGTGTGAAGCCCATTTCTGGTGTCCCCCGCCGTGATATTTCTGGAATATTGCTAAAAGCGGCGTAAAATCATACTCACTCACTCACTATTACGAAATTTCAAAGAGCATAATCAGGGTTACAACATTCAAGGCCTCAGTAAAGCTTTATAAATGTGTTATGGTCGACATGCTGATGACATTTCCCAAATTGGAAATCTATTGCTTTGATAATTGTTCCCGATAACTGCCAAAAAGTAGGAGTATTAGGATTACAATGATCAGGTTTAAAGATGGACTTACTATTGAGTATGACGACACTTAGTCTGTAAATTAGAGGCACGGGTGGCCCAGTCGTCTAAGAGGATGGGCAAGGTTATGTTAGGCGCTCCCATGTGATACAGAGGCTTGGTGAGAGAGCCTCACGCCTGAAGGGAGTGACAGAGTGTCTGCTGGCCGAAGTACGGTTGGTTGGTTTGTTTGTTTAACGCCGCACTCAGCATTATTCCAGCTAAATGACAGTGATCTGTAAATAATCGAGTCTGGGCAAGATAATCCAGTGATAAATACCATGAGCATCGATCCACGCGATTGGGATCGATGACATGCATCAACCAATTCAGCGAGCCTGACCACCCGATCCCGTTAGTCGTCTTTTACGACGAGCATAGTCCGTTGTTACGAGATTTGGTGGAATAACAGGGAAACCTGCGCTATCAATAAAACCACTGGTCCCTGCATAACAATGGACAATAGCCTGTGTCGACAGTTGACAGTTGACAACACACCGGATAAGAGAGCAGACTCTTTATTGAAAGTACTTCTCGCGTTCACCCAGGCTAATGAATTAACGACATACGTACACAATATTATGGTATTTAAATTTGAAAGATATAAATATAAATAAAACCAGTTACTTCTACTGTCTTAGTCCTATTATTGTATGGTATATTTTGTCACGTTTAGAAGCCCGTCTGTGTTGATGACTCGTGAGCTGTGATTACCGCTTGGTTTGACCTACATGTACTATGTTGAACCCTTTCGCTTTGTAACTGACGCTGCTGTAGTCCATATAAAGAGGCAGATCGTGATGCTATGTCATTTCAGTGATACATGTTTGTTTGTTTTTTGTTTAACGCCGCACTCACCAATATTCCGGCGATATGACGGCGGTCTGTAAATAATCGAGTCTGGAGCAGACAGTCCAGTGATTGGCATCATGAGACTCGATCCACGCATTAGGCATGCATCAACTTTTTGTTGTTTTTTTGTCTGTTGTTTTACGCCGCACTCAGCAAAATTCCAGCTATATGACGGCGGTCATTAAAAAATCGAGTCTGGACCAGAGAACCCAGTGATTGATATCATGAGCATCGGTCCACGCAATTGGGACCGATGACATGCATCAACCAAGTCAGCGAGCCTGACCACCCGATCCCGTTAGTCGCCTTTTACGACAAGCATGGGTTGCTGAAGACCTATTCTACCCCTGAATCTTCACGGGTCCATGCATCAACTAAGTCAGCGATCCCGTTAGTCGCCTCTTACGACAAGCATAGTCGCCTTTTAGGGCAAGCATAAGTTGCTGAAGACCTATTTTAACCTGGATCTTCACGGGTCCAGTGATACATGTAAGCCGTGGAAGGCCAAAATATTGAATGTTCTCTCACAGCAGTTTTTTTAATTCGTATTTGAAAACATAACGCGCTGAAATCTCAAGGTAACATGAATCCAATGTAACTTGTTTTTAAAAAAAATAAAAAAATCTGTGAATGAAAACAATAACATTTATTATTTTATCGCCCTCCATTGACAGAGAACTATTTCATTTTATTTATGAGATCATTGTTGTGGTTTATGTAAATGTAAGATTGTACTACCTTTTCCAGGTTTATTGACCAAAAGTTTCAATCAGATATGCAGTTAAAATTGCGCTTACACTAGTTGAAAGATACATCATAACAGTAATAATAATATATGTTTTTTTAAAAATCGACAATGACGCAGATTTTATGGTCTGGACGCATAACACACATACTTGATGTTATCCTGTTATAAAT